GACAGAGTGAGACTCCAACTCAAAAAAAAAAAACAACAAAAAACCCAAAAAAACTATATGTTCTACAAAAATAAATCAACCTTATCCACAAACTCAATCCTATCCAACTACAGAACGTTATTAGGCAGAACCACAAGGCCGTCTCACCATGGACTCAAGAGCAGACATGAGAAACGTCACGACCATCCTGCTCTCCGAGGACTCTTCATCTTCAACGGGCAGGGTAGACATTGCCACTTGGGCCATGATCCCTGTACAAGAGAAGTAACAAGAAAGAAGTAAGTGGTAGAAATGTAGTGCTCTAAACCACATTTAGAGCTGTGAAGGCACTCCACAGACTGCCGAATATAAACAGTTTTCTTGCGTAACAGAAAATAGAAGGCTCAGAAACAAATATTCTATCTGTCCCAAGCTCTTATCCTATAGAGAATCAATTCCCTAACTTTCTTTCTAGTGTTATTTCCTTAAAATTAGGCCAATATCACACCCAAAATAAATCCAGATGGCATCCAGAACCAGTACAATTTCTCCCAAGTAAGAGGAAAAGGAAGACATGCACTTCACAATCCAGTGATAATCTACCACAATTCAACACAGGAAAGAGACGCAAAGTTCCTTTTCTCCCCTGCACAAACTGACTTAGAAAGCAGGGGGAAAATGAACTCAAAGTAAAGAGAGTTTCCTCTTCTTAATAAGAAAATAGATTTCAGCCGGGAGTGGTGGCTCAAGCATGTAATCCTAGAACTTTGGGAGGAGGAAGCAAGAGGACTGCCTGAGCTCAGGGTTCAAGACCCTGCCTGGGCAACTTGCTGAGACCTCGTCTCTACAATAAAATCAAAAAATGAGCCAGGCGTGGTGGCACGTGCCTGTAGTTCCAACTACTCGGAAGGCTGAGGCGGAAGGATCGCCAGAGCCTAGCAGGTGGAGGCTGCGGTGGCCGTGAGTGTGCCACTGAACTCCAGCCGGGGCAACAGTGAGACTCTGACTCCAAAAAGAAAGAAAATAGATTGCAGAGCATCAAGTAACATGCAAAATGTCTTTATAATAGAGCGCATTTTCCCCTTTAGAAAATATTTTCTGGCCAGGAGTAGTGGTTCACACCTATAGTTCCACTGTTCTGGAGGTCGAGTTGGGAGGATAACTTAAGCCCAGGAGTTCAAGACCAGCCTGGGCAACATGGCAAGACTCCATCTCCACCAAAAAAAAAAAACTATTCAGATGGGGTGGTGTACACTATATTCCCAGCTATGCAGGAAGATGAGGCAGGAGGATCTCTTGAGCCCAGGAAGTTGAAGCTGCAGTGAGTTATGATCGTGCCACAGGCTGAGGGACAGGGTGAGAGACCTTGTCTCAAAAAAACCAAAAAAACAACTTGAAACTTTATTATCAACAAAGACACTCAGCTGAATTTTATTTATTTATTTATTTATGTATTTTTATTTTTTAGTTGGAGTCTCACTCTGTCACCTAGGCTGGAGTGCAGTGGCACACTCAGGGCAACTCCAGCTTCGACCTGCTGGGTTCAGGCCATCCTTCCACCTCAGCCTTCCAAGCAGCCAGAACTACAGGCGTGTGCTACCACACCCGGCTATAATTTTTGTGATTTATTGTAGAGATGAGGTCTCACCAAGTTGCCCAGGCTGGTCTTGAACCCGCGGGCTCAGGCAATCCACTCGTCTTGGCCTCCCAAAGTGCTGGGATGACAGGCTGAGCCTCCGAGCCCGATCAAGAATAGGAATTCTAAAAACATATCTATGTATACAAATTAATTTACTAAAAGCACCTGAGTATCTCTTAACTAAAGCCTCAGCATTCCAGGGTATATGGACAAGCATTTGCACAGCTGTCAGCATGAAACTGTTTTGCCTAAAAATATAAGCAGATCTCTTCCCTATAATTAAAGAGGATGATCTATTTCCCTATTATTAAAGACCATGATCTAACTTTACCATCTGTTATCATGTAAATTAACCACTAGGCCAGATTTAGGCATCAATAAGTAATAATGTATACATGCTTAGGAAATATAGTTTTACAATAAGAACTGTAATAAAAAACAATGGACACTTATCCCCATATCTGTGAACAAAGAGAAGCAATTGCGTTTCCCAAAACAAGGTCCCTACCTGACTGTAGATAGAGTAATAAAAAGCAGTACCAAGCAAGGGAATGGTTCAATCATAGAAATTATCTTCCTGCTGGGCTCGGTGGCTCAGCCTGTAATCCCACGCCTTTGGGAGGCTGAGGTGAGTGGATTGCCTGAGCCCGCGGGTTCGAGACCCGCCTGGGCAGCGAGACCTCATCTCTACAATAAATCAAAAAATCAGCCGGGCGTGGTGGCGCATGCCTGTAATTCTGGCTACTCGGAAGGCCGAGGTGGAAGGATCACCAGAGCCCAGCAGGTCGAGGCTGTGGTGGCCGGGAGCGGCCACTGCACTCCAGTCTGGGCGACAGAGTGAGACTCCAACTCAAAAAAAAAAAAGAAAGAAAGACATTATCTTCCTAACAGTCTAGGTCCTTTTCTCTTCTCTTGGATAAGTACATTTAAGTAAATTCGCACTAAAATGTGGCTTAGACAAAACAGACAACGAAGGCCTGTATTTTTCCATGATCAAACATTCACTTAGAATATACTGTCTTTATTTCTGAAAGCTCATGTTATTTCTTCATAATCTCCCTTTTCTTTAATTCCCTAGCGAGAGAAAAAGGAGATGTGTTCTCATTTTACAAATGCAGTGATTTCTCAAGGTCATATAGCCACTATCAGAGTCAGAACATGAAACCAGGACAATTTTCTGCCGACTGTTGTTTCCAAGTCTCAGCTTAAATTGCCATGAATCTGCTATGACGTCATTACACTCAACGTGCATTAAGAAATGGGAGACAGAAGCCACAGCAACAGCCCACGGGGGTGTCACAGGTGACAAGGGTCCTATTTAATTATAAGAACTTTTCAGGAGGAGGTGGCGGAGCACTTCACCATGGAAAGCACACTGTTGGTGACTGATTCATTCGCCTTCTGCTCTCTGGAAAGGGGTGCACCAGAGGCTCACTGCCCTTTGCCCATGCCAAGAGGTTATTGCCCTGGACAATCTTTAGCAGAGACTGTTTGTGGAGCCCTCACTCCTCACTTGGAGACTGCTCCCTCTTTTTTCTCCTTTTCCCGGAAGGAAACCGCCACCAGAAGGTGGCATGAACAGTGAACACCAGACGACGAACACCAGGCCAGGCTGGTGACTCCAAGCTCATGGGTACGATGCTCTGGTCCCCACAGAACCAAAAGCCAGAAGAGCTAGGACGTGGGTCAGCCACATCACTACCTAGCTGCACTCCCCCAGGGGACCACACCGAATGAAAAGAGATGCTGAATCAACTGCTTCTTATGAGGGTTCTTTTCACTTCTGACCTTCCATGAATCTGAACTTTAAATAAGGGCTGGACAAACGAAAAAGAAATGAATATAAATCGAATATATATCACAATTTATTGGTCACATTGTTTAATATTCACAACAGGAATATTAAAGGAGAACAAGCAAAATAGAAGTACACATGGAACCCAGAAACAGTGCTTTAAAGAATTCAGTGCTGCTGGGCTCGGTGGCTCAGCCTGTCGATCCTAGCACTTTGGGAGGCCAAGGCAAGTGGATTGCCTGAGCCCATGGGTTCAAGACCCCCCCGGGCAACTTGGTGAGACCGCGTCTCTACAACAAATCAAAAATTAGCCGGGCATGGTAGCACGGGCCTGTAGTTCCAGCTACCTGGAAGGCTGAGGCAGAAGGATCGCCAGAGCCCAGCAGGTCGAGGCTGCAGTGGCCGGGAGCGTGCCACTGCACTCCAGTCTGGGCGACAGAGCGACACTCCAACTCAAAAAAAAAAAAAATTCAGTGCTCCAGAAGCCACTTGAGCAGGACCTGTGGAGTCTTTTTCTGGTTTACTTTAAATGGCATGTAGGGAAAACGTAGGTACCACTACAAATGGACAGCAGCAAAAACCACCAGGATATGATCTGGCATTACACCACATCAAAATTCAGGTCTCTCAATAAGACCATAAAACAAAAAACATAAACTAAAATGAAACAACTATAATGGGATATTCTGTTCTGTACTCCTAAGGAATGCTAGGCATGATTTTTACTTCTGAAATTAATGAGTAATAATTCTTTGGAACAAAAAAGAAAATGACCAAAATGACCATGTACTCCATGAGACATTAAAGACAAAAAGAATGAAACCCTTTGAATCTTTTCAAATACAGAATAGGGGAAAAAATTTGAACTGAGACAACCCACAAGGTGAGCCCAATGTTACACAAGAAAACGACTTCCAGTTTCTGGATTTGTAACATAATGTACTTATTCCTTGAATGTGTATCTCTGAGGGTGATGATGTCTATTTATGAGAAAGAAGGCAATCTCCAAGGCAGAAAACCAGTAGTCAAGGAACAACTCAGGGGGTCTCCTTCTAGTGGCATGCTATGCAAGATGTGATACTCAATGGCCATCTGTAATTAAATTTAAATTACTGTCATTAAGGTGAAATAAAATTAGCAGTGCATGGTGGCTCACACCTATAATCCTAGTACTTTGGGAGGCCGAGGCAAGAAGACTGCCTGAGTCCAGGGGTTCGAGACCAGCCTGGGCAACTTGGCGGGACCTCATCTCTACAATAAATCAAAAAAATTAGGCAGGCGTGGTGGTGTGTGCCTGTCGTTCCAGCTACTTGGAAGGCTGAGGTGGAAGGATCGCCTGAGTCCAGCAGGTGAAGGCTGTGGTGGCTGTTGAGTGTGCCATTGCACTCCAGCCTGGACAACAGAGAGATTCCAACTTAAAAAAAAAAAAATAGTACAACAAAAGGGCATCAGGCAATTTCTCTTAACATCCTCCTAGCTTTTCTCTTTTTATTTCTCTATTTTAAGGTTCTTAATACTAAAATAGCATGAACATGCATGAACATATTTATAGCTCTTGATACATAATGCCAAAACTTTTATACTGCTACCAGAAATGTTTAAATATACTAAATTCACCAGTCTCACCAACATTTTGGAGATCTATAAGCTAATCATTATAAATAACCCATCACTACTAAAATAGCTGGATTTCTTTACTTACTAAATAAATGCTTCTCATAGTTTTATTACTTGTATTTCTTGGGTGATTCATCAGCTATTTAGGTCCTATGCCTATTACTAAACTATTGTCTGATGACTCTACATTATTTGCATAAACTGTCAATAATTGTCAA